AAACGAAGGATAAGTTACCTGAGTTGACATCCTCCATGTGCATTTCTAAGTTCAGCTGCTCCTGTGGAGATAGCTATATCGGGCGTGCCACTAGGCAACTTAACCAACGAATGAGTGAACATCTACCAGCATGGTTTGGAAAGGGCCAAATAAAAACAATACGCAGTTCTATCTTGGCACATCTAATTGATAGTGGTCATATTGTCGATAAATTGAAATCATTTCAAGTGATCTATCGTATACCTCCATCGTTTCCCAACGGAGTTTGCTCCCGTCTACTTCATATAGCAGAAGCCATAGGAATTCGTACATTCCATCCCAATTTATGTGTACAGAAGAAATTCGTAACCCCCTTATCCCTTCCATGGCCGGACATAACTTAATAAGTGACATTATTATTATTTGTAAATTTTTTTTATATTTTGGTTATCATTTTTTGTTTGTTTGTAATTTTCTACCTCTTTCCGTTTGTATTCTTCACTATCTATTTACTTACATACTTCTTATTACGCAATGATTTTAATGTTTTGTGATTACTATTCCAGACTATTTACCCACGTTTGACCTCTTAATTCTTATGTTTAATTATTGATAAGACTTTTGTTATCGTAATTTACTATTCCTACTACTATCAGTACACCTGTCTTCCCACTATCAACTTGTACTTTTAACTATTATTACGCTTGGTAACGTATTCTATTTCATTGTGATTATTATTGACTCAAATAGCCTTGATTGGTCTAACGTTTTCATATAAATATTCATGTATATTAGAGTAAAGCCTGATGACGATCTAATTGAAAACAATTGTTCCTAATTTTATTTATGTCCTGCTTTCGCCTGTTTAATAGACTGCATTGATTTTTTATTTTGTGTGCCAGCAGTAAAATTTAAGTTTTATAAACGGATGAAGTTTATTAAGCCAATGACCTACTTCTTCTGACTTTGGCTAGGCCAAAACACTTTGTTCGCCAATCCAGAGAAAGTGGTTTAGAATGTAGAGGTTTGTTTCGCGAATGTTTCGAAGATTTTCCAGTAACTGCTTAAAACAGACTTAGTAAGTCACATTGCCGGTGGGTATGTATCACATACAGCCTGAAGGCTGAGGTTTTGCTGAGCGATATCATCGTTCTCTGGTCAGGTCCCCTGAAAATATTGTTAACAACCCTGAATAGAGGCAATCTTGTGAACGATGGATACAGACACTCAGTGGAGTTAGAATAAATGTCTTCGACGACACTAGTTATGATGGTACCGAATTTCGGCATGTCTTCACTAGTATGGATGAGTGTTTCATCAATTGTGTTGTCTCTTTGTATTAAACATACTAATCTATCCGTAAGCCTGCTTTTACTGTTTAAAGATCTTCATAAACTTGTACTTCTATCTGCAGCGATATGGAGAATCATGATAAACGACGGTGTCCCTTCAACGCAATGTCATAGAAACCAGGCAGCTAAAATATGGTCAGTGAGATGCATTTTATTAGAGCTTGTAGTGAAGCTGCACAAATAGTTATTCAATACTGATTTTAGGTCTATGTTCCATTAGGTTTCTGATTCTGCCTGACCATGCTTGCAATTTGTACGGGAGGAATCCACCTATTATGCTTTCAGTGATGACTTATCCCGCAAGTAGTTTTCCTTTAGTTACTAGTCTGTACTTCAACTGTTCACATATCCCTTTTTTAACTGCTAACAAAAATGATATATTTTTCAGGAAAACTGTTGAACTCCTACCCATATAACTTAATCTGACAGTTTTATAGAGCGAAAAGATTAACAACACCAATTTCAGACACAGGTATATTTGGGGGAATGAGATGAAATGGAGTATATGGGCTATAAGCACCGGTATGACAACCTGTCGGTTTCAAACAGCTTGTAGTGCTTCCTATCAAATCACATTATGCGATGTAGGCGATCGTTACTTTTATGGAATATATTTTGTTCAGGCTGTCAGGTTCATACTGTCTTAAAGTTCCGTAGAGCTTATGAATGCTAACATTGTCGGTTGCTTGTAGTAGTTTGTTGATTGAAGAGATTATATGTTTTAGATAATGCTCAAACGTTTTTCAAGTGTCCTAACCAAAGATTCTAAATCAATGCAAACCAGAAGTTAGGAATAAAGGGGTTTGAAGATATATTTTGGAGATAGTCTATTTGTCAGGAAGTATTTGATCTAAGCTGATAAGTTATTGTGAGGGCTGATAAGACCGATCTACCTAGATATGATCATGTTCGGATGCTTGGTCAACTGCCTCCACGTGCGGCATGTTCAGTAGCACTAATGAGATAAGCACCACTGTCGAAGAATTATAGAACTATTTGCTTTGAGTATTTATTCACAGATAAAAAAGGTTTAGATTGCCTCTAGTTGAGATTAATTATGTTACTTAGTGAGATCACCATGATTCTCTGGCCCGTCTACCAGAATCCCCACCCTATTTCGCTGTGACGGTTCATTGGAAGCACACTCTGATAGGTACCTGAGATATCATTTTTTACTACCTCTAGGAATCGTGATGCCTCTTGTTTGGGCGTTCCGATGTGCTTTCAGCTACCTTAAAAAAGTCAGTAGTTCCTCCATCACAGACAAGTGCCAGATCGGAAACTATGGTGTTTTATGCCTCAGATTTGGGTTTGCAATAATGCTTACAGCACTTTTAGCGTTCAACAGACTCGTAGTTTCTGAAGTTTTTACTTTTTTTTTATCTGAAAACTGCTGTTCGGTTTTTGCCAGCACGATCACCCCTCTTAAATGAAAAGATTTTCTGGTAAGTAATACTCTAGATATGTTCGACGAACATTTTACCTTATCATTCTTTGCAGTCATTCAACTGCATGGAATCCCTGTCCGAAATTAGCTACACTGCCTGCCATCACAATGGTTGGAAGCTTAGGTTTTTAAAACAGCCCTCAAGGTTTACAAAGACACAGAAACGGAAATGAAACACCAGCCTACGACACAATTAAGACAAGTTGGAATAGGGAAAAGGTTAAAGACGTAAAGAAAAAACACCTTTACGAAACAGGGCTTCATTTGAGTTCTTTCCTAATCGGTCTTCTGCCAAAGTACATTCTCTGTCTGGCCATCGCCATATACTACTTATGTGGATATAAGTAGACCACACTACAGTAGTAGCTTATGGTTTGGAAATAATATCTTGAATGGCTAAGTGCATTGTCATTGTGATACTGCAGTACCTAGGCAGTACAACGGGTTCATGTTAAGTCGCCCCTGTAAGTGGATCTGTTACGTTTTCCCACAATATTGAAAAGAATGCATCAAAGGAACTAGTAAAAGAGAATCATAAGATCCCACTGGAAGCAATCGTATCATTCCTCGTCAGTATATGTGAATCACCAAATCAGGATCGACCAGAAACGCAACTATGGGTGCCACGAAGCTCGATTATGCACCAATAAAGTAGCTGACTTTTACTAATATCTAGTTTTACCTAGCAATAAGCTCAAAAAACGTTGAAAATTGGAGACGATGACACTCGAAAAGGCTCTCTGGGTTCATTTTGTCTCATCATCTGAGAGTAGCGTAATGGAAAGTAGGACAAAGAACGTTGGACAAGTTATATGAAGCGACGGGGAGGGGTATCACTTTAGCTAAGTTATGCCACCCGTATAGGGGCCAAGACGTAAATACTCAAACCCTCTCCGCTGATGAAAGCTTTAGATTCAGCTCACGCTTAGTGACCGAAATTCCAGTAGTCGATCTGAACTCAGAACTTGTAGTGCCACCGGTTCTCAAGCACATGATCGCAAAGTCCGAACACAAGATATTTGAGAAAATGCGCATTCAAAATTTGGCATCTAGATAATGTTAAATATGATAAATGCGAGAGAGCGCAACCGAAAATGTCATGGTTCGGTCATGTAGGCGTAGTCACAATGCAACGTGTTTCTTTTCATACTAAATATATTATTCTACACCCAGCCCAAATGGGTAGACGGTGGATTAGAACTTGGTTTGTGGAAATGTAATATCATGAATATTTTGCCTCACATAACTCTAAACACTTATACCCTTCATAGACATCTGCTCTCTGGTTTTTAACGCTGGAGAGCTCAGGCACCAGCGCAAATTACATGGAGAGTCGAGCCGAGACAAACGCAACTCTCCACTTTATGTGAAGATGACTTGGAGCAATTACCTCAGAGTTGGTCCTCGAACTGTTTACAACGTGCACACGCCTCCACATTGAAGTCCGTAATGTGATTGCTCCTTAACTCTCTCAAAGAGTTACTAATTTCTTCGTAAGTCTTACAAGGACAGTCTTTAACACCTGGAATTATTTCTGTTAAGCTACAAGGGATGGCCTGATAATGGCATAAAGCACATCAAGTACACCACGCTACACAAATGCGGGTGTATTATCGGAACAGTATCACCCATTCCTTCAGCCAACCCTCAGAAGATTTCATATCAAGGGGTGAACACTCAGGTAAACTCTTAACTTTGTCACCAAGGATTGTTTCCATTTGAAATGCTCTCCCAGACAAAGTGAGCACAAAGTCATCATTGGATAGCTTTAAAAGGGGACTTGACAAATACGTACTCACCGAAGGATTAAAACCACACTCTTAAACCAGTAGTGTCTATAGATGTCACGTAAATTACCATCGTCGCCATTACTGCATGTCAGCAATCACTTCCTATCTTTCACATTATAATCACCGTTTTCTTAAACACTACCGTTTAAGTGAATCTTTTATTTATTCTTGGGACAATCTTCATCTAGCACTTGAATTATTACTTTATTAAACTGAAATTGAAACCAATCTACCTTCTAGGTAATGTGATAACTACTGGTATCCATAATCCCCACTGACCTGAAACAAACGGACTCACACTATAGGGTATGCCAATCCACAAATAACTAACAGATTGACCAAAACTAGTGCAACCGAGTGGCTAGACTACCACTAATTGATTGTTAATAAATACGTAAAACCTTATCGAAACAAGACGAAGCAAGTGCGAATAAATCATTCGGTTCATACAAACGCGTGACAAAGACATTGGATACAGAGCGCCTTTTCAGAAGACATCGCTACAAGTCGTTCATCATGCCTCGGATTAACATCAAAGGGGGTGTTTGGAGGAACACTGAGGTAAATTTTCGGATATTAAGTTACTTTTAAGGATGAAATTCTCAAAGCTGCTGTTATGAAATATGGCAAGAATCAGTGGGCAAGGATAGCTTCTTTGCTACACCGCAAAGCCGCTAAACAGTGTAAAGCTAGATGGTACGAATGGCTTGATCCCAGTGTCAAGAAAACAGAGTGGAGCCGTGAAGAAGACGAAAAGTTACTACACCTTGCAAAGCTTATGCCAACTCAGTGGCGAACAATTGCTCCGATAGTTGGAAGAACTGCGAACCAATGTTTGGAACGCTATGAATATCTCTTGTAACTCATAAATTCATTATTATTTTAAAACCAAGGGACAAAGCACAAAACAGGGAAGGATTATCCGCTGAGGAGGATCCTAAACGCCTTCGTCCCGGAGAAATAGATCCAAATCCGGAGACCAAACCTGCCCGTCCAGATCCTGTTGATATGGATGAGGATGAACTAGAAATGCTTTCAGAAGCCAGAGCACGGTTAGCCAATACACAGGTCCGTTGCTTTCGATGTTTTTACAATTCAATTCCATAAAGTTATTTGGTGAGGCATAGAACAACTATTTTCGCATTGCCTCACAATATAATCTTTTACTCCTTTGAAATCATTTGTTAAAATAAGAGCTATAATAAAGTACATAATCCTATCAAAATAAGTCTCCGGAAACCAAACTAGTTATGCATATCGTAGAAGGGCAAATGTTCGGACTGAATAATTCTGGGCCCGAATTTCATGAATTTAACTTTCATAGCTGAATAAATAATGAACATCACGAAATGATCATTAACTTCAAATTTACTAAAGATCAATGTTACTGATGGTTTCTGGATCTCGACGTTATTTCGAAAAATCTCAGTAAGTACAATGAAATAATACCTAGTTAGATTTGATTTGTTTGTTGTCACTTGGACTTAGATTAATTTCTTCATAATTCTTCTTTGTGTCTGATCATTCCTATCTCCGGGTGATTGTTGATGGTTAGCGTAAACACTAATTAACGAGCGGTTTCGTCTTTATGTGCTCGAGCACGGTTATAAGTCGCTTGTTGTCACCATCTTGAAACACCTGTTTTGGTGGCTTCAACATATGCTACGAATATCTTAGCGGACTCCATATCGCTTTTTGTTTTTTGATGTTAGCACTGAGTAGAAAAAGGGAGTATATTAATATACGTGGCTGTGCTCAGTGGAGACTTTCCTCGTGTTTGGAGGTCAATATACTTAAAGTTCGGGTTATTAGAGTGATTCTCATTCTTTGAAAGTGCTCTCATGTCTAGTTTTATAGAGTCAATCGTTCTTGTGGATCTTTTCGATAATTCGTTTTCTTTAAAACCAAATTCATGTCTGAAAATCTTTTCACATCTGTTTGTTTATACATTTTACATTTAAAAGACGTAAAAATTACTTGTATGGTCCCCACCTAACTCTTCATTTGCCTGTTCTTTGTGATCTAAGGGTAAAAAAGCAAAGCGTAAGGCTAGAGAACGTCAACTGGAAATTGCGCGGAGAATGGCTATGATGCAAAAACGTCGAGAACTTCGAGCAGCTGGTCTAGGAACATTCTTAGGATTAGCACCGAAAACGAAGCCATGCATGGATTATAATTCCGAAATTCCATTTGAGAAGCAACCTCCCAAAGGATTCTATGATACTAGTAGGGAAAAACCAGAAATCAAACCTATGGACTTTCAGCGTTTAAGACTTTCAGACATCGAAAAAGAAAGTTTTATGGAAAGGGAGAAGGTGAGTTATCACATTGTTTTCGTTTTTGGATTATTTCTTTTTTGAAAACTGTTTCCAATGCCCTTTTTTCATATCTCTATACTAAAATGTTACTTTCGGGTAATTTATATCAAATTCACATAACACGGTCATTTCGTTCTTGTGTGTTGGAAGTTTCACAAAGTTAGTTACTTAAGGTCGATTGAATTATTTCTACTACTACTACTTTTAAATCAAAAACGAAAAACTCATGTTTTAGTAATTTTGATACTTTTCAGCGTGAACGTAAAAAGGATGCTGAACGCCAGGCTAAACGTATGCAATCTGATTTACCTGGGCTTATTTTGCAACGTGGGAATTCTTTGGATGAGCCAATGTTAAAACGATCTAAACTTGTACTTCCTGCTCCTCAAGTATCTGATCTGGAATTGGAAAATTTAATCAAAGTATGTTTCAAGCGGTTTTGTAATTATCAACTTATAACAAGTGCACACTGTGGTAGTGAAACAATAACATTAGACTTATGATACTAAAAAACAATAATAAACTTAAATTAAAAGAAAACTGGAGCATTGCATTCGTGTTTATCATCAAGCACGAAACGATGACCGTTTACGCAAGATGTTGACTAGTTTTACATGAATCTGCTTTTTTAAGTCTTACAAGTACTCATTTGCAGTTCATATTTTTCCCACAATTTTATTTTTTTATCTCCTGTTATCAATAAGTCGACCACTCATGGTCATATTTTTCGTTACATAGTCTAAAGTTGAATATTAATACGCCAGTATATCAACTTTCATTTTACATTATTTAATCATTATTTTACTTGTCACCAATTAAGGAATCAATTGATTTTGTTGCTCGTATAATGAATAAAGCTTACGTCGTACAAAATAATTTATAAACGACTGTCAAAATTTAATTTTTCAACTTGTGTTTTCTTTACCACCCAAGTTTTTGTTATAGTTTTAAGTGGTAATTCCTTTCTATAAATAACTGTCAATGTTCAAATATAAAATTTAGTAGGATAAAATAAATACACCAGTATCTCCAAATACCACTTTTCTCTGACAACTTGTCTAAGCATTAATCTACTTAATTTGTTTTACCCCTTTTTTTCTCTTCTAAGTTTATGGATATAGCTAGTTAAAGCAAACAAATCTCGATTATTGGGTTCCTAGTTCGAGTTCATTTTGGTGTTGTCGACAGGTTGTGTGGTGATATTATTAATAGCATTGAAATACAGAGTAACTGGAAGCCATATATATATTCTGTGCTGTTTACTTGCCCCGTAATCTGCTGTCTTTTTGTTGTGATATTATTATTGTTATTATTATTATTATTACTCATTTATTTGAATCGTCTTACAAAAAACTATTAGGTCGGTCAAGCCGGTGAAAATGCTGTAAGAATGGCCATTGAAGATGCTGATGGTGAATTGGGTTCTGCAACACATCCTCTTTTACCGGAATATCCTACCGGTAGTTTTGCAACACCTGCCTTAAATCTTCAACGCACTCCAATGGCTGTGATAGATTCTGTGACTAGAGTAAGTTTTTGTTCCGATTTTTGTATATTTAATACGTTTAAGTCCTGGCATAGCTTGGAACTAACAAAGGTATGCACCACACAAGTAAGATAACATCAAGAAAAATATAAGGGATGGAATTGTGACACAATAACAAAAAAAATGAATAGACAAAAATAGTTCGTCTAAAAATAAAACCCAAAGGACTTCTTTCAATTCAGAGAGTTCATCTCACTTTTACGAGAAATGTAAAATAGAATTTTTGTGGGATCGCCACTAGCTTCTGTTGTGAGCCACATCTGATCACTTTTCAAGCCATTGAGTTACACTATCTCTAAGTCCTCAGTCAGTAAGGTAGTCCTAACGAACCAACTAGTGCTAATCCTATACAGCCTTTTATACTACGGTGCCATGTCATAAATTGACCACACCCTCTTACTTTCGTAATAAAGCACCCCTGCAGCGAGAACTGAGTGAGTAAAACTTTTTTATCAAACTTTATATGAGAACATTTTGAGAGAAGTTAACAAACGATCTCAACCCTCCGTCCTTCCAAGGCATCTAGGGGATAGATAATATAAATTCTCAAGTATGTTCTAAACTTTTTGTTTTCGACACATACGGTTCATAATTATTTATGTAACTTAATCTGTGCTAATTGCATAAAAATTAATTCTCTTGAATGGTTAATAGTAAGTTCTTCGTATTAAAAGAGTACGGATAAGATAGCAGTGTATGCCAACCCTAGCTCTGGTCATATAATGTTTGATCGGAGCGGAAATTTTAGTCCTTCAATTACATTTGAGTGGTTAATCCTGGTTCAGTAGGCCATCTAACAACACGTAACCAAGTGTTAATTAGGATCCGATCAATTATTGCTGCCCCAACTTCCAATTTCAGCGCTTAGTGCAAAACTAGCTCCAGAAAAACTAGATGTCATAGGGTCTCCGAATAAACGCACGTGAAACAAACTTTTTCAGCGGAAAGTTGGGAGTGAATGTGTAGTACTTCACTTGAATCTTGAATACGGGTCTTGGATAGAAAATAAACATCGATGTTACTACTTAAATACACACCCAAGCCTATCTGTTGTGCAATCTGCATTAGTGTACGGATGCTATAAGAGGTCATTTTGAATGACATACGTGGTTTTCGAAAGTTTGATTCAGAATTCTTGTTTCGTGGTAACATTCAACTTTCAACCAGTCAGTAACTTCAGATAATAAGTTGGATTCCGTCTTACCAACTAATATTTTCAATCATTTGATATAATTTTGTCGTTCGCTGATTTAAATTACTCATTCTAATTCACTTAGTCATCTCGGTCACACGCAATATAGAACTTATAACGTATGTTCGTCAATTCAAGTTACCACACAAAATTAGCATAATGAAATGAAATTATCATGTCAAATGCCAGAATTATAGAAATAATAACAGTATCCATAGTAGTAAAAATTAATCAGCATAGAGAAAACTGGTGTTAGGAGATTTTGGAAATCAAGATATCAGGGAAGAAAAAGGGTAGACACATCTGCGTCATTGTGATCAATTCTGAACCATGTCATTCAACATCTCCAAACACTGGTTACGGTAATCGCTAATCAGAGGTTGTTCACATTACTCTTTTCTTTAGAATAACAAAATTGTCGTCATATTAATACATTTTTGAAGTGTTGCGTTTACACTAGGAATCGTTATCTAAATTAATTTGGGATTGTTTAAAAAATTAATAAACCTCAGGAAACAGAATATACGTTTAAACGAAACAAAAACTTGAGTGTTTGCAGAATACATATAGTAAATATTAACTAGACCAAAAGCCTGTGTAATTTAATTTCTTTCTGATTAAGTACTGGTGTGGTAACTTGGACCAATTCACATACGTGACAGATTGTTGATGTCTGACTGACTAACTTTTGATCAAGAGAGTGCGGAACTAATCCGTGTGTTGCAACCTAAATCAACTTATCGCTTCATAGTTTCATTTTTGCTAACACTATTCGTGAAAATAATGTATATTCTCATAATATTTATCCCACTGTTTGTTTATCAAATTTTCTATTTGTAATCTCATTATTATTATTATTAAAACTTCTGGTTACCAGGAAGCACAAAATATTTTAGCTTTACAACAAGTTCAAACTCCTCTTAAAGGTGGTGAAAATACTCCATTAGTTGGTGAATCTGATTTTTCTGGTACAACACCTCGTTTACCAAATACTCTAGCAACTCCAAATGTTTTACTTCCCAGTCAGATAGTCGGTGCTACTCCATTTCGTACACCGAACAGCAACATTGAAAATGGTATGTTGTGTTTTCTTTCGTTTCCTTTTCTTCAAAATTTCACGCTTATTGCTATTGTTGAAGTTATAGAAATAATCTTGTTGTAGTGTGCCAAAGATCCCATATGTTATTGTTTCATGTCGCACTAGTGCATATATTTATTTTAAAACTGAACAATAAGTGTCTAAATGAGGTGCATATATTAATCTGTGCTAACAGAATTAATATTTCATATTTTAATTAAATGCCCCAGTACGGCCAAAGGTGAGAAGAGTCCGCTCTCCATCTCGAAATGCTCTCATATAGCCATACTTATACAGTCACTGTCAGGGAAGTCTTGCTCACTGCCTTCTCGTGGCGAGGGTATTGTTTACAAAATTGAGAGGACAAAAAACTAATGTCTGGAGCTTTAACTGGGTTAATAGACATAAAGGGTCCGCCTAAGGAATTTGAAAACACTGATTTCAAACCAATGGCTCAAATGGGCTCTAGGATCCTGAGGAAAAAATGGTTTATGGACCTATTGTTGGTCACCGTCTACCATGGGAGTGCGCCTCTTAACGCTGCTCCACTGCCTTGTGGATTAGACCTCTAGGTTAAATGCCAAGGAAGTGGATCCCTAGGGAAGCCATCTGCTTCGATTAGGGCTCTCGGTCACCATCTCAGACCTCACACAAATCGAATGATTTGTGTGGCACATATATATTTGATGTCCCCTTGTACCAGTATTTATACGTTTAAATAATAATAAACATTGGTTTTAGTCATTCAGCATTCAGCTTTTGGGTGGTAGATTTAAAATTCACTTCAGTCGTTTAGTATCACTAAATTGTGTACACTTTAGACATGTCTCTTAGTTAAATACTCAACTGAATTAACTCAATTATCAAGCATAGATTTGTGTACTTGTCTTCAAGCAAGGTTGCTATTACTACCAGGCTACCAAAACGGAATTAGGCAGAGGGGATTTTGAACCTGTAACTTTATGACTGGAATTCGATCGCCTTAACCACTGAGCTGTCACTTCTAAATAATATTAATTTGTCTGGGATTTTTATTTGTATCACTTTATTTATTTATTTAAACACATATATATTGGTACAAAAGGGCACCAGATACATATGCGCCACACAAAATAATGAAAGTAGGAAGAGAAGGGATGAAATGATAAGGCGGACTGAAATGTACAACCAGAAAACTCTTTCAGTTAAGAAAGTTAGAACCACTCTTTATGTAGAAAGTAAAAGAAGGTTGCAGCAGGATCGCCACTGGCTTCTATTCTGAGCCATATCCGATAACGTCTCTAGCCACTGTGTTGCACTATCTCTCGGACCCCAACCAGGGAGTCGTGAAGGACCAACGGAAGCTAGCCCTTTGCAGCTCTCTTTCATGCCACGACACCATGTCATACACTGACCTCCTCTCCGCTTTCTCCAACCAGTCCCAGGGTCGGCAAATAATGCACGACGTGGAAGTCTCTGGGACGACATTCGTAAAACATGTCCAAGCCACCGAAGTCGGTGTTTCAAGATGGTGACACCAATTGAATTACCGTCTCTGCGCCCGAACACACGATGCCGAACCTCTGCATTACTAACATGGTGTTGCCACTGGATGTCAGCAATCCTTCGGAGACAACGATGATCGAACACAGAGAGACGTCTAACATCCTCAACTCGGAGAGGCCAGGTTTCACAAGCATGGAGCAAAACTGCTCTCTCCGACGTGTTGTAGATCCGACCTTTTGCAGCCAAACTAACATCACGAAGGCGCCAAAGATTGCTCAGATTGGCATAAGCCGCTCTCGCTTTCATTATACGTGCATCAATCTCATCACTCACGCCACCACCAGCACTTATATAGCTACCTAGATACACGAATTTCTCAACTACTTCAATCTGCTCACCATCCAGGGTGAGTCCAGAATGAGAATCCTGCCAGTCTTGTAGGAGTACTTTGCACTTGGAGGGTGCAAAGCACATGCCGTACCTGCGGACACTGATTGCCAACTGATTAAGTGTGGATTGCATGCCTTGGGCATTATCGCACAGTAAGACAATATCATCCGCATACTCGAGGTGGAGAAGTCGTTCTCCAGGCAACATATCCACACCGCCATTACTTACATCCATCAGAGCTGTTTCCAGGATGTCATCGATGGCAAAGTTGAAGAGGAATGGTGAAATCGGGCAACCCTGCCTAAACCCACTGCTCGAATGAAACAAGGGAGAAAGGTGGTTGTATGCCCTCACTCTGCCTGAGGTGTTCGTATACAGGGCCTTTAAGATGTTAATGAACTTCTCAGGCACACTCTTCTTCAATAGACAATCCCAGAGAATACACGGTCTCTTCGTAAACGTGTATAATGCTGATTATTTTATAAACTGTTTGGAAAATGCCGAAGATAGATAAATTTATACGTTTTAAGTAGTATAGAAAACTTATGGCTTTTTAAATTTAATTCTCAATGTGTTTTTAATCAATGATTGTAGAGCCTAGTTGATGATAGAACTCTAAGAACAGTTCCTACTAGGATATTTGTATTCTACAATATTTCTTTATGTTATGTTCATCTTCTCATTCTATCCTTGCTAGTAATTGTATTTCTCTGTCTACTAGATTCCCACTTTTTTCATACTTTACTTTCCGTTTTATTCTATTATCAATGATAAAAAATATTTTAGGTACTCCAAATCTTATCGGTGGTGATGCTAATAATACACCTGGCCCATTAAGAAAAGGTGAACAACATTATGGTCCTCCAGGATCAAATACACCACTAAGAAATCGTTTGAATATAAATCCAATCGATGGAAATAATTTAGATGGTCTTAATAATAATCATCCCGAAGGTATGGTAGACTACTATGATCCAAATGGTGTAAAAACAAATCTACGCAAAAGTTTAGCTAATCTACCAACACCGAAGAATAATTTCGAAATATTTCTCCCTGATGAAACTAAACCTGACGGTGATGATGTGGATGATAATAACTTTGAAGGTTTTAACGTAGATATGGATCAATCAGAAGAAGATAGGGGAACTGCTTCAAGAATTCCAGATCAGTCAGATTTAGATAGACAATCTGAAAAAGAACGTGCTAAAGCCGCTGAATTGGAATGGTCCAAACGAAGTCAAGTTGTTAGACGATCTTTACCTAGACCATCAGCTGTAAACCATACAATTTTGCGTAATATTCCAGGTTCAGTTAACCAACTATCTCAACAAGATGCGAATATGACAGATTTACAAAAGGTATTGTTAAAAGGGTTTTCTTTTGTATACACTATAAAGTCGTTAAAGTACATTCAGATATTAGCCAACCTTATAATCAATATGTTAGTACTATTTTTTTGAGTTTATTGTTTCAGGTGTAGGTTTTCTCACTGGTTTTTGAGCTTCTGTTTGAATCACCTCAAACTTTCAGGAAATCTATACTTGATCACTTCTTCAGCAGGTTGAGTCATTCTTTGTTAATGAATGTGATAAAACTTGAGTTGTAGCTACGCCAATTGTATTATAATTTTATGGTTTACATTATGAAAAGACCTTAGTTTGACAACCAGGAAGGATCGGATAGCTGTTTCGTCCTAATACAGTATTCCTGAGTGATGAGGATCCATAATCCCACTGGCGACATGTCCTTAGCTTTCAGACCACTCAGTCAATATTGAACTGTTTGTATTTCTAACTTCAATCAATTAGTGATATTTCTCAACCATATTCCGGTACTATTTGTAGGTAACTGGCTCACTGCTAACATGGTTAAACGGGAATGGTAACAACTTCTCACTCGAACCCCAGGAATTACATCAGTCAACTAGTTACCAGTAAACATATGATTAATACTAACATATTATTATTTTTGCTTAAGGAGTGTACTCAATTGCTCTGTTAATGTGCATCAATCAACCATCGTCCGCAGAGTGCTGACAGTTATATATCATGGTAGTATTAGTAGTTTTTGTAAATATCACTACATGTAGATTGATTGGATTCATAGTAAAATTCTTACATGTAGGCTGTATTCGTCATAGATTGATTTGAGTTGGAGTAAGATTAGAAACCAAGGGTCACCGGTTAACTCTCTAGTGATTTACTTCAAGGTACTTCAGAAGTTGTGACTGGTGGTAGAGTTCAGACATGTTGGGAGGGAAACAGTTGTTACTAGTGGGATTAAATGTTCGTTTTGTTTTATCACAGATTGGTTAAATTTAAAATTGTACCATTCAACAATGAACCAGTGGTTCCAATGGTTAAGTGTTCGATGCGAGACACAAATGTCATGGGTTCCATCATTGGATGGAATTGTAGATACTCACAGGTGCGTAGTCCCATGTTAGGACAATATGACTGTCCAGTAAGTGTTCCCTAGTCTTCACTGTTACCCTGAGATCAGTCTTTGGTGAATACAATCTACAAACTATTTTAGCTGAAATCCTTATCTCTATATTATATTTACTTTTTATCTCTCACATGTAACGATAGTAACCACGAGAATTATGGATTCACTATTGCAATTTAGATAATTTTTAGAGCGTATTCATCTTAGCTAAAATTAATTTATCCTATTTATCAAAGATTGCAAATAGGCAATAATAACTGATTATGGTTTAGAAATTGGAATATAATAGTAAAAAGAAACAAAATCCTTAACATATTAAAAGTTATGTTAAGGTCACGGAAGGGTGAGACATTGCAATTGTTACTTTTGTACGTAAAGTTCAGGTTTTTGTACTGATGAATTACTAACACTTTATCAGGGCACAGTTTTGTGTGTGAATGTTTAACCCTCCTTTGACTTCACTCGTTTAACCATACAGCTGCTTTTTGAAGGATGATTCTTATGAGACAGCGTACCCAGTGTTATCGATTTGTTCTTGTATTAATCTATCTATTGGTTGTTTTTCAGTTTCCTTTAAAAATCCACACCAATTAATGCTCTAAGATGCGTTTGTAAAACGTTTACTTTGTTCAGCCAATGTAATTTAACCTAGAAGAGCAAGTAAACTTACAGATACATACCGATGTCGCCCAAAGCGAAATTTTATTCTTAACACATCCATAAATGTTAGGCCATCTGGAGAAGACAATATAGAACTTAGCTGAGTAGAAGGTTTTTATTGTTGAGGATTTTGAAATTCGTTTATTCATGACTTCTATAGCAATATTTCCTCTAAATTCCGATATTCATGAGAAGAGCGTTCTTTTTAACTGTCGGTAATCTTTCCGACTGTAGTTTTGTTGTCAAGTTTTTGTCGATGAATCTAGATGAACAGCCATTTCTGATGAGTATTTGTTGAAGGTGAAGTTATTCGTCACCTATTGTTTCACCGGAGCAAACTCACTTCGCTACAAGAAATGCTTAACCTATATGGATGTTTTTTGTTGTATTAGTGGAGTTTGTTTTTTCCCGTAGAGAACTCACATTAAAATATTCTCTTATTTCATCACTACTGCTTCCATTATAATAAAAGGTTTAAAATTTTACAGAAATGTAAATAGACGAGATAATTTCAGCTTAATTGTATTAGATTATCATTTGAATTCAATACATAAACATTGATTTACAGAAAGAGCAAAATAGTGATAAAGTAGCGTTAATAATAATGAACAGAGATGGATAGTGACTAACACTGAAATCCATGACTCGCATTTCGTCCCGTTCGCGACTTGTCATCTGGATGTGCCTACATCCCAGAGTTGTTGTTCACACCGCGACACGAACCCAGTACCGTTCGTTTCAAATGCCATCATGTTATCCACTTAGCTACTGAGTTCAGATAGCCACTAGCTTGTGCAATAGGTTGAAGTTTAATTTGTGTTTGTATTGGTTGTTTGAATCTTCTCATTAATGTTTATGATTGCAATCGATCAGTCTCTTATTGACACATTTTCATCTTGTGCGGATCACCTCGACAATGCTTTAATTCACAAGCATTATAAGCAGACATGGATAATGGGTAGCATTGAAATCCAAGGAGATTCAAACAGCCAATACAAAAAGAATTATAATATTGATGATAATAGCTTTATTCAATAATCCTATTATGAATTTTGTTAGCATGTGGAATTTTCAAGACACCAGTTAAGTAATATTCCTGTATAAAAAAAATAGTAGGATTCAAAACCTAGAGCAAAGTAAGGGGTGAATACATCTGCACCATTGTAATTGATTCTGATCATGTTATTAAACATCTTTAGTCACTGATTGCGATTATTGCATAACAACCTAACTAAATAGTCTAGATCTACCAACATGGCTGATTCTAACAATCAATCACTTTATCGATTTATTTCATGTTTTGGTTTAGTCCGTGATAGTTTTCTTACAATCTACTCTTAATTCACCTACTAATCTAAATCGAGGTAGCTGGTTGTTGTTAAGTATACTTGTAATATGTGTCCGAACCATCTAAGTCGATTAAGATTCAAGACTACATGAACAATAATTCTGAACCAAATGTAAGCTTGATTCCTGAATCTCATTAATTAAAATAGTTTTAATGTGTCTAATGAAAGTAAGCCATTATTGGTCAATGGGCAAAAACGTACATAAGGGACTACATGACTACAAGTACCCTCTCATATGTTCTATATTTCCGAACCATATTGTTCTTTAGTTTTTTTTCATGGTTATTGTTACTACATTAATTTGATCTAGTTTACAATTTATCTTCCTAAACTCACTTTACAGAACTAAGCTTGTAGGGCAGCTTGAGCTAACGCACATTTTAGCCAGGCTTTACGCTGGTGTTATTAATTGACTGATTGATACTGTTATAACTTCTACTTCTCCGGATTTTGCTTAAATATTTCCGTCTCCCTATGCTAATGTGTTGTACAGCAGCTTAAACCGATGCATGTGTATCCTTCTATACACTACTTAATAATAACTGACTGAGTTTTCGATTCCTTTTTAGTAAAATGTTTTTTCCCACTCTCATTATTAGGCTGAAGAATTGATTAAACAAGAAATGGTAACAATGATGCATTATGATAATTTAAACAACCCACCACCAAATCAATTGTTGGATGCTGCTAAACAAACTACTAATCCAAGTGGTAGCAGTGGTGTTGCTCCTGCTAGTCAACAAAGACGTTATTTACAACAGCTAAAAGCTACACATGAAAGCTTTTTGAAAGACTGTCCATATGAACAGTTTGTTCCGGATGATTTGAAAATGGTACGTTGTTTATGCCTGTGTGTATATGGCATTTTAAAATGTTTTTTTTGCATTCAACGTGATAATTTTGTTTCGCTGTCTTATGAACTCTTTTCGTAATCATATTATGATCTTGGGGGTGATTTTGAATGTTGCTAGAAGTCTGTAGGCAGTTGTTATATCTTGGCTGCCCACACCGAGGGAGCATACTCGTTTAGATACGTGAAAAGAATACTGGATTGACAGTAGTCTTAGGGAGTAGGAAGTGTAACCACATAACATAAGGGACAATTAATTAAGGCTTCTAACATACGGCCCTTGTGTGAGTTTTCGGTTTGTTAGCTTTGTAATTTAAAGACTTCTCTCCAGAAACAGGAATCTGTGAGGAAAAGTGAGATGTTCCATATTCGAGGACGATCTTTTCAATTCTCTTTCTATCATTGTAGGCAGACGGCATTGCTTCGGATGCTAGTTGTTTGATGAAACCAATTTACTACCATCATGCCACAGTATAACTTGATTCTCAAATCTTGAGTTTGTTGCTTCTAGTCTTACTGTCTTCCAACTAATCTACCTGGCGTGATTGGACTTATAGGAACAAGTGTTTCAGCAAATATGACTGGATTAGGTTGTCAGGAAACGGAATCTCAACCACTCCATCAAGGTATCAGCTACGGTTACGTTATTGATGATAAATACGTGAGTTAAATGCCAAAAATTGGATATGTATTTCGAGATACTTTCTGCCTTGATAAATCTTACGAAAAAATCTTTAAAGTTCATTTACCTCCCAAATTGATTCATGTTAGAAAAAAAAGGAAAACAAGAGAGTATTGAACGTCTGCTTCGTCGTAGTATATGACTCCTCAATTATAAGTATTTTCTACTCCTTACCTAGAGGTTGAATTAATGGCGTACAAGTGTCATCCTGTTTCTTCGTAGTTTAAAATGATCGTCTCACGATTTAGACTAGGAACCGAAAAAATTCCTTACCAAATGAAAATGTTCCTATTACATTTCTGCTTTTTATTCCGTACTACTGATTGGTTTTGTAAGTAGCTTATATATATTGTAGTAATATTTCAATTCAATTACAGGCGGAGAATTTACTGGAAGAGGAAATGCATGTTGTTCGAAATGGTATGGGACATGGTGAATTATCAGCTGAAGCATATGCTAAAGTTTGGCATGAGTGTTTAAGTCAAGTTTTATATTTACCGGCACATAGACGTTATACACGAGCTAACTTAGTAACAAAACGTGATCGGATTGAATCACACGAGAAACGGTTGGATCAACTTCGTCATCTTATGGCTGAAGAAGCCAAACGAGCAGCGAAACTGGAGAAAAAACTCAGAATATTGTTAGGTGGATATCAGGTAATTTTAAATGTACAAATTTTCTAAAATCACTTCCGACCTAGTAAATTTATTGACCGAGTTGTTTCAAACTTTCTGTAATTTGTACATTGGTGTTCAAAAATAAGTATACATTTTGTTAAGGATTTGTTAGATTTCCCAACGTATTCATCCGCAAAAGATGTCCATATCATCGAAAATAAGTTCGAAGATCTAATGTTTTGTCATATCTATAGAATAGTTTGATGAAATGTAGTTCTCTAGACTTACACATTGTCGTTTGTTGTTAATATACTTGTGAGTATAGTATGCAGTGTGCTTGGTCGGTGAACATGTACACAAAGAAAGCATCTCCAACCAATGATGCCTACCAAGAAGTTATTCGGCAAACAATGCTATCCATCCCATGTAATTTTATATAGCCACTGGTCTCGGAAGCTTTCTAAATAAAGAATCATTATTCCACTTAACACGTAACTGATGCTTGCTTCATAATAGATTGTATTCATCACAGATTGATCTCAGAGTACTGTTGAAAACTAGAAAACACTATACAGTTATTTTGTCCTGTCACGGGACTCTATAACATTTTGCATCCAAAATCCTATCAGGGATCAAATTCAAAACCGTTAAGTCTCACGTCAAACTTTTAATCGTTAAAGTCATTGGGTTGATGCTCACTAGTACACTTACAACTTCAATCAATATGCAACAAAGCACAAAGACTATTCAGTGTTATTAGTAATAATTGTTTCACTCTAAACATGTTTGAACTCTGCCAGTCACAATCTTATTTACTGTATATTTTTCAGTTAACAGTGGGCGGTTCTCCAGTTCTGTTTTATAAACTCAGAATTTAATAATCCATTTTTTTGTATTTAATATCCTATTCACTAAAATAAATAACGTTTGTCCTACTATCCACTTTTAGTCACGGGCACAAACCTTAATGAAAGCCATTGAAGAAAGTGTCGATCAAATTGAACAAAGTCAAATGGAATTAACCACATATGAACGACTGCACGAGCAAGAATTATGCGCTATCGCTAGACGTTCAGATGTAAGTAGTATGTTTTTATTTCTCTAGTAAAAAAACAATCGAACTTATAAATAGTTTTTATTCTTGTGTCAATTACTTTCAATATATTTATTTAATTTTACAGGTTTTAGAAGCTGATGTTGAACGTCAACAAAAACGAAATGCTGATCTTCAACGAGAGTATGGTAGATTAATTCGTATTCGTGAGGAACGTGAAGCAGACGCTTTCTTAGCTAGTAATATGGATTTAATTAGTAATGGTGGTGGTAGTGGTGGTAAAGATGATGGCGATACACCAATATCGAATACTGCTAGTGGTGATGTTACATCTATTTCAACGGATATACATAGTCAGTCTAATACTGAATCATCACAAGCACAAAAACAAACAATATATGGAAATAAGAATATGGTATCAGGCAAGTGGATTGCTGTGACACAGATCGAAAATATAGAAGATCCTGATCAACCGATGTTGTTATCCAATGGAGAGATTCCTACAAAGTCTCTGTAAGTCTATGGATTTTTCTTTTTTGTACTACTTTAAATGTATCAGTATTTCTTTTCTTTTTGGATGTGCTGTGGTTTATTTATTTAAACACATAAATATTGGTACAAGGAAGCACTAGATACATATGCGCCTCACAAATCTCGATTTGTGTGAGAGCTGTGATACTGCCCAGGTGCCCAGACTGAAGCAGGTGGTTTTCTTAGGGGGCACACCCCGAGCCTTTGACCTGAATGTCTGATCCACAAGGCATTGGAGCATCGTCAGGAGATGCAGTCCCATGGTAGCCGGTGACCAACGGTTGATTCGTACGCCATTTGTTCCATCAGGATACTGGAGCTCATGTGCACCATTGGTTTGTAATCAGGGTTTTCCAACTCCCGTAGGTGAACTCGCCTTGTTCACCAACCCGGTTAAAGCGCCGGATATTCGCTTTTCGTCCTCTCGCTTTCGTGAACAACATCCCGGCCACGAGAAGGCAGTGAGTAGGACTTCCCTGGCAGAGGCTATATATTCGCTGGCCATATGAGAGCATTTCGAGAGGGAGAGCGGACTCTTCCCACTCTCGGCCGTACCAGGGTATTTGGGGGGCTGTGGAGTGTGGAAATTGGAATGAATGTACACATGTGCCAAGTTCTACATTAAGACTAACTAACTGTTCTGTAATCTTCTAAATCCAATATTTGAATGACACAATATTTAGAGAGAGATTCACCATAGTATTACAAACTGAATCTTTTTCTTATTCGTTTGTTTTTATGTTTTAGCCATGATTCAAATCATTTCGAAAATGATAATAATAATAATAATAATCATTATACTACTGATGAAAATGTTGTTATACCTCTTTCAAATAATAATGAGAAAACATCATCTAATGATACAGAATCATTGAATAATATCATGTTAGAAACAACAGTAAAACAACAAACTATTAGTTCACATTAAAAATGTTATTTATCTAATCTAATTTCCATGTATACAGTATTGTTTTTTTGCCTATTTTCTTTCTTTCTTTCTCTCTCTCTCCCTCTCCCCCCACTCTCTCTCTCTTTTTGTGTATGAAGACTTCAGAATTTTTTTTAATACACTATGCAAAGTTTAAATGAACTAACTAGGGGGGGGGATTCGTTTATTCTTTTCTTTATATATAGATTAGTGAACTATGTATTCATGCATGGTATTGAAAAAAAAACACAGTTTCACACCAATATATCTGTTGCTGTTTCTCTCTCTCTCTCTACTATTCACTTAATTGTTTGTAAAGAATAATAATAATAAATAACGTAATGATTATAATTATCACTATTATTATAGTTAATTTACAAATGGAAAGTGTTATGTAATCTGTGCATGAATCTTATTACTGAAAGAAAAAAAGGTTATTTTAATCATTTTGGTAAATAAATAAGATTGATTTAGTTAGGATGAAGAGTATCAGTGTTTAAACTGTCTATTAGAAGGAGAGGTTTTCTTAACAATTCATTTTTTCGAAGGAGGGTTTATGGAGATATCAACTCACGGAAGACATTAGTGAATGGTTGTTCAATTTTGTGGATTGGTTGAAGTTAGATATTAACACCGTTGGATGTCGGGTCAGTGGTCTGGTGGTTAAGCGCTCACGTGCGAGACTGGTGGGTCCTATGTTAGAATCTAATGGAGCGAAATCGTGGATGCTCACTGTTAAGAAGTCCCACAATAAGACGAAACGGCCGTCCAGTGCTTCCAGGTTTTTCATGGTGGTCTAGCTTTAATAGACTCATGATTTCAACTTTATAAAATTCATTTTCAATAGAAAATAAGGTTTATAAATAAAACACACTTTTCGAAATACTTAAGTTCACGTAAAGGAAAAAATCCCTTTAACGTCAACACAGAATTATGTCTACAAATTAGGATTTGGCGATTGTGATGCCATACTACTATTGCAGATTCATCTCATAAAATCTTGATTCGAGCTAAAGAAAATCTTAGGTTCACAAAGAAACCACCTAATAATCCCATAGAACTGGAAAGACTCCAAATTAAATCAGAAATAGTAGTTCATATCATTTTCATCAACCATCAAGTCAACATTAAAAAATAATACAAAAAGGCTTTTCCAACTACAAAGAAAGGCGGATAGTTGAAGATTTTCATATATTGACTGATCCTACTGCCCTCAATAGAAAAGGTCTCACTATCCATCTAACTTAGACCATCTATCCGAGCTAGCATATCTGACTCTATTCTCACATTTCACACCATTATCGTACATACAAATTCAACTCTATCCTTTCTCATCACAAATGTCACATTTTTCATCCTTTACCATATATACACAAATGTACAAACATGCCTCATGTAAATTACCTTTACCGAAATGCCATTGACTTGGTCAGACTAGTTTTTGATTGATCTCACCTAATATTCTTGTTTTGTGGCTTTATACTATTTAAACTTTGGTTATTTATTTACTCTGAGAAAGTAGCTTACATAAAGTCACAAAACACCAGAAATACAATTTTTCTACTCATTAGGTTATAACAAAAACTTTATTTATTATTTCTTAATTATACTTTTCTTATGCAAGCCACTTTTCATTTCAGCTGAAAGTAAATAGATACAAGAAATTGGTTTTGTAGTTTCATCTCAGTCACTGCCGAGTCGATTTTTCAAAACGCTTCGAGGTATTCTATTCTAGACTAATACAACAAAATAATTTAGTGCACTTAAACAAAACAGTCCATTAGTAATGAGTGTTATATCCGGATGAGAATAAATGAGTGGTGACTGTTTGGATTTACTTATAGACTCATATCGTACCAACATTCTTATTGTATGACTAATCAACAACTATATTATATGTATATTCATGTTCCTTTTATTATAAGATTTTGTTTGACCTACTGACTATTTTCATGTGATTTACTATTCTTAAGATATTCCCGATTTATTAGTAACAGTCTCTCACAATCACAGTTACTTTTTGACTTGATCTTGTATAATTGTTAATTCCTATTTTATGGTATGATACAGTCTGGTTTGCTTGTATATAAACCAAGAATGTCTGAAGTAAATGATTCGTATCGCGGAGGCTAATATTGGCGTTCTGGACTGAATCGGCTGGGTTAGGAGAGCATGTATTATCTCGGTGGACCAATAAGGATTCTAGACTGCTTGTATACGTTTATGCGTCATTAGTCTGGTCTTATAAGTCAGTGTCTCTAATTGGTGGTCGTATCTCGTGACATAATTAATCGAGCATAAGGGCATAACAATGAGTATACACGATACACTATGCATCGATTACACCGAATAACATAATCAATTTTTCTCAAAAATATCATTCTTTTATACAATGATAGTTAATATTTTGTACGGGTAACCTTTGACTTCCTGTTGTGATGCAAAAAAAGAGGCATAATTGTACTTTTTTCGTTGGTACAATCAGATCGTATTTTCACAAAATTTTAGTTAGATTAAAAAGGTCGAGTGAATGTAGTATTTATTATTATTTATTTATTTATTTATTTAAACACATATATATTGGTACAAAAGGGCACCAGGTACATATGCGCCACACAAAATAATGAAAGTAGGTAGATAAAGGATGAAAAGATAAGGCGGGCTGAAATGTACAACCAGAAGATTCTTTCAGTTAGGAAAGTTAGAACCATTCTTTATGTAGAAAGTAAAAGAAGGTTGCAGCAGGATCGCCACTGGCTTCTATTCTGAGCCATATCCGATAACGTCTCTAGCCACTGTGTTGCACTATCTCTCGGACCCCAACCAGGGAGTCGTGAAGGACCAACGGAAGCTAGCCCTTTGCAGCTCTCTTTCATGCCACGACACCATGTCATACACTGATCTCCTCTCCGCTTTTTCCAACCATTCCCAGGGTCGGCAAATAATGCACGACGTGGAAGTCTCTGGGACGACATTCGTAAAACATGTCCAAGCCACCAAAGTCGGTGTTTCAAGATGGTGACACCAATTGAATTATCGTCTCTGCGCCCGAACACACGATGCCGAACCTCTGCATTACTAACATGGTGTTGCCACTGGATGTCAGCAATCCTTCGGAGACAACGATGATCGAACACAGAGAGACGTCTAACATCCTCAACTCGGAGAGGCCAGGTTTCACAAGCATAGAGCAAAACTGCTCTCACCGACGCGTTGTAGATCCGACCTTTTACAGCCAAACTAACATCACGAAGGCGCCAAAGATTGCCCAGATTGGCATAAGCCGCTCTGGCTTTCATTATACGTGCATCAATCTCATCACTCACGCCACCACCAGCACTTATGTTAGTGATTGGCATCCCGTCATCCTCGTAGATTGTTTCACTCACACCAGACTTCTTGCTGCCAGTGGCTCGGATGAGTTGGAAGAGCTTCCGGCAGTTACCAGATGCAGCTGCTGCTTCCATCTCATTAGCACGCTCCGACCACCAGGCTTCTCGGTCCTTACGCAAGCTTTGCCCGATTTCATTACGTAACAGCCTTCGTTTGTGGTCAAACTCACGGTCACCCGGAGTAGACCGACGGGCTTCCATCAGTTGTAAGGAGCCAGAAGAAACCCAGTGCTTGTAAGCGGGACGTTTCGCGAAGCCGCAAGCGGCTTTACTCGCCATTTTCATGGCGTCGTGAAGATGCAACCAATGCTCGTCTATACTTTTCGGTGGGGTGGTAGCTAGCCTAGAGGCTAGCTCCGCTCGATACTTACTTGCAACAGAAGTTGCAGCCAGTTTACTAATATCAATCCGTTGGTGGTGGTCAATCCTTCGGCCACTCAAAATTAAGGTGAGATTGGCGCAGACCAGGGCATGATCAGACTCCAGATAGGTACTCCAAAAGGAGCGGCAGTCTTGTACACAACCACGCCAGCGGTAGCTGATCGCGATGTGATCAATCTGAGTCCAGGCTTGGGATGCAGAGGGAGGACGCCAGGTGGCACACCGGCGATGACTGTGCCGGAAGTTAGTGCTGGCCAGAAACAGGTTGTGGTCTGTGCACAGTTGCAGCAAACGGTCCCCGTTATCTGTCCTGCGACCAACAAGTCCCCATCGGCCACCTAGACGACTCTCTTCTGTGCCTAGACGCCCGACCTGTGCATTCAAGTCTCCGGCTAGTACTACAATATCTGTCGAACGCGCTTTCTGGAGAAGAACTGTTAACTGATGGTAAAACTCATCCTTGATTGCATCCGGGCTGCAATCTGTCGGGGCATAGGCGGAGATGACGAAAAGACACCGTTTCTCACGCCGATTTCTTCTCACTTTGATGGAACTTTCTAATCTAACAGCACATAACCGACTGTTAATGGGGATCCAATCGATTAGTGCTGCCTCAGCTCTAGCGCTTAGTGCGACACCAACGCCAGCAAGACCAGACGAAGATGCCACAGGGTCCCCGGATAAGCGCACGTGGAACAAGCTTTTCGAGGCGACAGATGGAGAGCGGATTTGTAGTACTTCACTAGAGTCTTGAATACGGGTCTCGGATAGACAACAAACGTCAACATTAAGACCTTCCAAAGACATAGCCAGCCCTATCTGTTGTCTGATCTGCATTAGTGTGCGAACGTTGAAGGAAGCCAGCTTGAACGGCGTACGTGGTTTCAGAAAGACTGCCTCAGTATTCATAATCGGTGGAAGCATTCACTTTCAACCAGACAGTGACTGGAGATCGTTTAGATAGGACAGATTTTCCACCAAGAGCGAGCTGCTGCATAAGTTGAAGAGTAAGGTTACACAAATTGGGGATAAAAGGGGATGAATTAGCGATATGGTAAGTAATAATAATAATAATAATAAAATAATAATAATAATAAAGGTAATAATAATGTTAATTGTCTTGCTTTTAGTATGACCAGGGATATCGTCAATAGAGTTCATAATTTCATTCATTTGTTTGTGTAGTATGTAGTATTTATTACTTGTAACCTAATCAATGATTCAAATTGTCCAGTTGATTGTTAATAGAATGAATACAAGAAGCTTCCGCTTAACAACGACCTTCCATTTCTTGTAACAATCGATCACCGGTGCCTCCACATAGATACATATTTAATAATTATTATCATCATCTTTATTTTGTTTATTCTGGTTAGCGCTTTTTTTTAGCAAGGTTGTTTCCTGAAGGTTAGGGTTACTGACCCCATGCTGAAATCTTCCTCCTTTACTCGCGCTTGGGATTGGCAGTAACCCTAGAAGAGCTACAGGTGGAGTTTGGGAAAAGAAGAAGACCAAACAATACACTTTGTTAGGAAACAGATATGAAAAGGATGAACATCAATTATATGGATTGCTAATTATAA